GCGACGGTATGGGAACTCCCACACGACGCACTTCCTACTGATTTCTTAAAGACAGCGCCCGCGATGGACTTTGGCAGGTTTCAGGGGTCACATTTGCTAGAACAGGTGGCCAATGAAGCACTAATCAAAAAAAAGCAGGAAAAAGGTCTGCGAAACTCGTCCACATGCCTTAAATTTCGTAGGGTCTTATTTCACGCTCTTCCACACCTTTTTCCTACTTTTTTTGATTAGTGCTTCATTGGCCACCTGTTCTAGCAAATGTGACCCCTGAAACCTGCCAAAGTCCATCGCGGGCGCTGTCTTTAACTAGCGAGGAGGTCCCTCAGATATCCCACCCCTTCCGCCATTGACTCGTTTATTGAAGCCCACCAGTAGTTGCCGTGATATGGTCAGCAGTCGAGGAGTTCGCTTGGGCTACAAAGCAGCGTCTTTGCTCTTCCCCCAACCAAGGCGCAGGCATAGAGCCGAGTGGCATCGGGCTAGGCTCGCGGAGCAGGCAGTCCTCGTTGCGAGGGTCCAGATGTGTTTTCTCATGGAACTCAACGGCCTAGCATTTGAAGGAAGAAGGCAAAGGAGGAGGGAAGAAAGAAGGAAGGGAAGAAAAGGATGGAGGAAGAAAAAGGAAAGAAGAGGGAGACCTCGCGGTTGACAAGTATCCTGAGACGGGCTGGACTATTCTCTAAGCTTTTAGGGAAGTGGTACAGAGGGGCGGTCAAGTGGTCCCCCCTAACTAGGTTAGCGACAGACACGTAATTGGACGTGCTAATTTTGACAAGTGTTTCACGTGAGTGCTATCAGCATTTACCATGTGCATACTTTTGTGCTTTGTGTAATGGTTTCAATACCGTAGAACAGGGTCTTATATACAGCTAGTTAGCCACGACTGCACGACCATTTTTCCGTTGGAGTTTTGCCTGTTCTGGAAAATGTTGTGAAATGAAGTTGCTCTGTCTCTCTCTCTCTTGTGTCAGTTGTTCATTTGCTTTAGCAGAATTACTGTTTCAGAACTTTTCTCTCGTTCTGGGTAGGCGCTAGTTGCGGTTTCGTCTATGCTGCAAACGGCCCAACCAGTCAGAGGCGACTGCATTGTGAGTCTATAAAGACATATAGGACACGGTTAAGTGTCATCACACACTTCGGGCGCTCGTGCTGGGAGTTTGAGTTGAACGCCGTGCAGACTGTTGTGATGTGCTTGTGATAAGTATTTATGTTCAATGCGCAGTAGTCAGTAAAAGGTCTCAGATTGATTGCTGGGGCAGCATGGCCTCATATGGGCGAACGCTCGTTACAGCCGTGACGTTTATGCACTGGCTGATATCGAACGGCACGCGCTACTCACCCACAGCTCGCTGATTCAGGAAAACAAATTTCCCCCGAGCAATCAGCCAACGTATTGACAACATGTCGCTGTGTTTCCTTACTTGCATTTGCAGTCTGTTGGATTTCTTGATTGGAGCCTTCTACGAAGTGTCCGCATCATTGTCGGTCACTTTCAGTACTGTTCATCTTTAAAGACAATCCTCGCGATCATATGTTACTAGGAGCTCACGCATGTAGGCCATAGCCCATGAGTAACTCCCCAGTGGGGAAAACGAAAAAAAACACCTTACGAACACTCTGAGCAGAGACCGCGGGCGCAATAGCTGGGAGTTTGAGCAACTGCTCCCAAAGTTCGTCCAAGGCGCCAAGAAGAACGTCCAAGGTGTGGGCCATCTTGGCAGCGGGGCAGGCGCCTTGAACGAGTATGTTGGACGTCGGCAAGCCAATCAGCAGGATTCGACGTGCAACCAATTCCTGGCAAGAGCACAGGAAATCACCCTACGACGCTCCAGATAACGCTATGTACCCACGCAATTCCACTTGTAAGCCGTTGTCTCGCAGAATCATGGTTGCAATAGTAGCAAGAATCACGAGTTCCAGCTTCCTTACTTCGTTTCAATTGACAAAAGTGATATATTCTCTGCAATGCGGACAACGATGCCAAATCCGAGAAGGCGTTTTGCGTACCACTTGATCGCGGGAAATGTCTTTAAAGTTTGGGATTTTTTTTTGTACTGGGAATATGTTCAGCTTGAATAGCTAAGTTTTCGTTTCTTTTGTAAACGATCCTTCCTGTCGTTTATGTGATGAGACAATCGTAATCTGCCACGTTGGGCAAGGCGATCTATGCCGCCCATGCGAGAGACGAGCTGTTCTGCCTGGCCGTTTGAAGTCAAATGTTGAAGGGACGAGGAAAAACATCACTGGGCAGAAAGTTTTGTCTTGCATGAGTTTCGCTGCTCCAATCGATACTGATGCTCATCGAAATTTCGCAGCGTACGCCGCATAATGCGTCGCTCGCGACGGCGCGACAAACTACGATTCCCTGTCCATCTCGCCTTTCTGACTTCTACGCTTCCTTATATTGCTTCGTTCTTTTCTAGCATAGCGCAATTGAGTTGTTTGTTTGTTCTTATAAACTGAGAGGAGCTGTTCCGGTGAACGATATTGGGTGAAACTGGCTGTGTATGTTTTGAGCAGGGTAACGGTCATGTTGTTGAGAATTTTTGCTGAAGACGGCCCTCCTCGCCCACCCGATTCATTCGATACGGCCCCTTCTCACTGTTTTTCCATATTACTGACTTCTCTTTCCAAGAAAGCGTTCCGGTAGCGTTTGCGTGCTTTTTTTGTTGTTTTTGTGAGAGTAAATGTCGATCCAGCGTTTCGAGCGTTCACAAGCATTTTTGGGGTCAGCGCGTAGTTTGTCGCGCCGTCGCGAGCGACGCATTATGCGGCGTACGCTGCGAAATTTCGATGAGCATCAGTATCGATTGGAGCAGCGAAACTCATGCAAGACAAAACTTTCTGCCCAGTGATGTTTTTCCTCGTCCCTTCAACAT